GAAGTATAAATAAAGACCGGGGCAGTTTCTTAGTGCGAGTCTCTGAGACTGCCCTTGCTAGCAAGAACTCTGTGTGTTTCTCTTCTCTGAGTCTTTACTAAAGAAGTGTTTTAGAATATTTTCCCTAACACTCTGTCTTAAGGTTTGGATGACTGAGAACCTTCACAGACACGTTGGTATATTAGCTTTGCTTCTAAAAGAAATTTAAATTGTTAAAATAGTCTGTATATTTAAAAACTCTGGAGCAGGTCAGCTCACCTCAAACAAAGAGAACGATCAGTAATGTACCTACTGTCAGACAGAAACTGACTCCCTGGATTGGCAAATATACAAAATACTAGCTACTTCATTGTTTGTTGATTACTACAGAGTTTTGATTGTCTTTAATTCACAATAAAAAACTTCCCCTCTGCAACCAGAGTTGAATCATGTCTAATAAAGGTGATTATTCACTTCTGTGAGTACAAGGTGGCTGAAAAATAAAAACTATAATAACACAGTGTCCGAGTTTTTGAGAGTAAAATTCAAACACCAGTCAATGAAATTCCTGAACATATCTGTCAGTGGAATATGAGAGAAATGACAAAATACAGTTGAGAAATCAAAACATTTCAGTACCAAAGAAACTGAACATTAAGTTCTATGATTTCAGAGCAAAATTAATTTCTTTAACACAGTTACAATAAACCAACAAGTTTCATGATAGAAAGAGTGTCACATGCATCAACTGAATATCACACTGCATAATGAAGTCAGTTTTCTCTTTCCTGCTTATATCGTGCAAAAGAGGAAGTCTAAGAAAAGCATTTTTTATCATTAAATCTCTCATCATGTGTTAGTAGAGCTCATCAATGACAGCTGCTATTACAGTACAATGTGGTATTCAGACTGGGAGAAATTAAACTTATTTTGTAAGATTAAACTTGGAGGCTTGCTTCTTTTTCTTTTTTTGAGGCTGTGCACATCATTTTAGACTCTTAAGAAAGAAGAATTGCTGAGTTCCTTTTTTTTTCTTGTTTCCCGTCTCCAATCTCTGTTTTCTGTATTATTCATTTGCTTATTACCCACCAGTCTACCGTTGTTCAGTGTTGCCAACTCCTCAGTAAGGAAAATCGCTATTGGTTGTCCTAAAAGTCGCTAGAAGTCGCTAAATGACGTAATCACCTAATTTGCATAATTGGTCATGCTAATCTAATTGTAACCTATGTTGTTGGAGAGAGAAATAACATCACGGAAGAGACATAAAGTGAGTAAAAAACATCCTAAATGCATTTAGAGTTTATTTAGAACTACAAATTAAATTAAATTAAATTACTGTAATTAAATTACTTTTCCACTGAAAAAGTAGAGTAACTAAATACTGTTGAGTCTCCATCTTTAAAAAAAATTATTTATTATTTAAAGAGTTTAATTTCTATTGTTTGCCCACTCAAGGTTTATAGGAATTTTAAGAAGTATTTAGTTAAATTACTTATTTAGTAATTAAGTTACTTTTCTGACACAGTAATTAGATAAGTATTTTAAATACAATATTGACTAAGTAATTAGTAATTAAATACTTTTTTAAAGTAACTTTCCCAACACTGCTCATGGTAGTAAAAACTATTTGAGGGTGAGGAAGTAATTTCATACTTAAGCTGCTGTCATGTCTGACTTTTTCACAGGATTTTTGCAGGAAGCTAAAAACTGACGATTTTTTCACTGCTGTGTTTCAGGGGCATCGTGTCACACCTCTAGCAGCTTTGCAACCAGACAAAACAGACTTGTTGAACTTTCTTGAACTGCATGTTTTTTTGTACTTCTTTTTTTATCTAATGACAACTAGGCTAAATGTTTCACTGTACTGGCTGCTAAAAACATTTTCATCTCACTGTGAGATCTTCATTTGGGTGCATTTGGTAAGGAAACATTTGACTTCTTCTTGTCACAAAAACTTTTGTTTATTCGTCTTTTACT